GATCTCCTCACCTCGTGATCCACCCCGCCTCAGCCTCCCAAAGTGCTGGGATTACAGGCGTGAGGCACCATACCCGGCTCTTCTGTGCACTTTTAAATGATGTACTTAGCTTTATTTCTCATTCTAAAACTACAGAAATTTTCTCTGGATTCTCCATTTGGTAAGATGAAGATGCTACTGTCTCTCCCCTTTTCCTCCCACATTTTCCCTGTCTACTCCCAAACTGCCGTTTCTAGTTTTCATTGTCAAGGTTGGTAACCTTTACAGTTTCCCATCAAGCTTTGGTCATAGGATGATTCTAAATGATGGAACTATGAACACATTGATAATTTATTTTTCACTAACAACCAAGTAGTTAACTTATGATTACATGTTCCTTCCTGTGTAACTAGTGTGTGTTTTATCCTACAGTTTCCCATTTCCTTTTCCCCCATTTTCCTTTTTTTCATAAGAATCCTTGACTTTTCTTCTAAGACTTCCATAGATTTGTCAAAGTCATGTTTTAAATTCCAAGGGCTCCTTCAAGTTTTTAGATTTTAGTTTGTATATAATATCCTATTCTTTTGAAATGAAGATTATAGGGGAATTTTGTTGTTGTTGTTTCTGTTTTTGTTTTGCAAATTTACTGGAGAATTTAATCTGAGTTTTACTGTGGAAGTTCTGACCCATTCCCTAATAGATTTCTATTTCTGAAGGGTTTTTCTTTTTTCCTTTTCCTTCTCCCTCCATCCTCCTTTTCTTCCCTCCCTTCCTCCTTCCTGTCTTGCCTTGCCTTACCCTTGTCTTTGTCTTTCATTTTCTGGGCAGAGCAGACCACAGGATGCTCACCCCTCTCTGGAATCATTCTGAGGGGAGATTTCTCGCTGAACTGCCAGAGTTCCCCAGTGGGATTCTGCTCCAGATGCACACAGGCTTAAGCCTCTTTGCCTTTCTAGTCGCACTTCCCTGCTTTCACGCTGGCATTTCTAGAAATCACCTCCCATATAAACTGCTCGCATCTAAACTGAGACTGAGTTTTCCCAACGTGTGTATTACCTTTGACTGTACATTCATGTTTAAACATGAGGCAATTGATGAAATAGTAATATGAGGCTATTTTGTTGGGAGAGTCCTACTTAATAAAATTTAGATATTTTGCTCTTGAATCTATACTAGCTATTGTAACTCTACTTGCTATTCTAGTCTCTAGTTTCAAGACACAGCCTATATACCCCAAGACAGATTTTTCTTCTGTTTCTCTAAAGAAAAACTGTATTACTTAAAAAAAAAAAACTAAAAATGTGTTCGTTGATGATGTTGCATCGCCCAGGAGGTAAAAGCCTTAACTCCTGGATATCGCAGATTTGGATGCAAGTGGGAGTGGAGGGTAAGAGGGGTAGCAGGAATGCAGTTGATTTGAAGACAGTCATTTGCAGGTATCCTTTTCTTCACTGTCTCCTCCCATCTTCTTGGTGTTTTTGAGAAGTGAATTGCTTTTGGGTCCTGCAGGGCATATCGGCTCTCTGGTTGTAACCTCTTATGCAGAATTCCAGCAATAACTTTCTCTACCCCAGTTTAAACCTCAATTATTTTCTTTCTAACAGATAGCTGTTGACATTTTCTGCTGATAATGGCTCCCTTCCTATTATTTTCATGATTGTGGATTTATACATATTTTAATCGATCTCTTTATTATCAATTTAAAGATGGCCTTTTGAAGGAAACAAGTTTGATCAGAATGCCATATTAAAATGAAAGTTAGATGTTTTTGCAAGTAAAGTTATTGGCTAAATATACTTTATCATTTATATGACTATAAACTAGTAAAAGAAGATCCCATTTGAAACTATGGGATTACAAAATACATAAGATTTTGGTACAGAAGTCACCTGACTCGGTTTTGATTGCCTTTGCTTTTAAATTAAATCCCAACCTTCATTATATTATTCTGCCCCTCCTTTTTTCAGAATCAGAAAGCCAGTTGATACTCATTCTGAAGTTTTCAGTCCTAATAACTTATTCATGGAATCCAGATGTAAGCTGAATTGATCATCATAGATTGTGATCAATTATGTTTGTACATCTGTGGTCTCTGTGGCTGTGCTGAAATGTTTAGAAAATATAACTTATTCCCTTTATGCATTAATGAGTAGGCATTAAATATTTAATTGATTTACATATTATCTGGCCCCTCTATTTGGAGCTGCTGTCTGTTAGTTCTAGAAAGTATCCCAAGAAAACAATATTATTTCCAGTTTCTTCCCCACATTGTATCATTCAATTTATCCCTCTATGAAAAATGGACAAGGTACTTTGTGGTTCTAAGATTTTCTCTTCCCTATTTAAAACTTTATGTAGTAGGGCCGGGCGTGGCAGCTCACGCCTGTAATCCCAGCACTTTGGGAGGCCAAGGCGGGTGGATCACGAAGTCAGGAGATCGAGATCATCCTGGCTAACATGGTGAAACCCCGTCTCTACTAAAATACAAAAAAAAAATTAGCCGGGCGAGGTGGCGGGCGCCTGTACTCCCAGCTACTCGGGAGGCTGAGGCAGGAGAATGGCGTGAACCCGGGAGGCGGGGCTTGCAGTGAGCTGAGATCCGGCCACTGCACTACAGCCTGGGCAACAGAGCCAGACTCCGTCTCAAAAAAAAGAAAAAAAAAAAAAAATTTATAAGATAACACAAAAATACCAGTGAAGGTGAGAAAGAGACAGCAACAATCACACATAACACTGCTAACACCTAATAAACATTAAATAGCTCAAAGAAATACACATCCAAGTGAGATTTGTATTTCTCCTATACCCTTAACTCCTATATCATTATTAAGAATTTCTTAAAATCTTAATACCCAGTGTTTGACGATACTATGGTTTCTGTTGGGACTACAAATTATATCTTTCTGCAGAGAAATTTAGCTATACGCATCAAAACCTCTAGAAATCATCACATGCTTTGACTGAATAATTTTACTACTCTAATTTTTTTCTGAAGAAATGTTGAAAGATGAAGGGAAGGCCTTATATAGGTTATTTATCATAGAAAATGTTATAATAAACTCATAATATCAAGAGTTAGAATAACAAATGCTAAGAGTCAAGTTTAAAATATGTATTGATCATTCATGTAGTTAATTATGGAACCAATAAAAACATTTCTCAAGAATATATTGATGAAATAAAGGCTTGTGATACAATGTTTGGTGAACAATGGAATATAAATTACATTATCCAAATTTTTAAAAGGGTTGTGTCTAAATATACATTAAAATATTAACAGAGGTTATGTCTGGGTGGCTAAAATTACTGAAAATTTTCTAATTTTTGTAAAATGTTCTATGGAAAAAATGAGCTATTTAATTATTACAAAATATAAAATTGATTTTGTAAAACAAGCTAAAGGTCAACATGTCTCTTTGAAGTGACAAATACTAGAGCATAAGCGTATTTTTATAAAATATTTTTAAAATATGTGGACTTCTACCACAATTAAATCTAACTGAAAATATTTAGAATACTTAACCTGTGTATCTAAAGACATAAATGATTCAATTTTCAAACCATAGCTATTTTAACATTGTTAAGGAATTCTCTAATAAGTTTAAGAAGACAAATGATATTATCTACCCAGCATAATCAGATAGTTTAATTTTTAATTGAACTTTATATGGAGTCCTTTATATTGTATTAAACAATTCAGAAATCCACTAATGAATGACTTAGACAAAGTAATTGCATGTACAGAATGATCAAAGAAATAAAGGATAATTAATAATCATTTTCACATATATTACCGTATTTGACCCTCAGATTTGTAAACAAGAATGATGTTCTCCTGACTAGAGATACAGAGAAAGTTGCTAGAGCAAAACTGATGGCATTCCCCAAGGTCTCCTGGCAAGTCAGTGATGGAATCAGGATTTTAACTTTGTACCTCTGTTTTCTAATCTTGGACCAAAGTCCAGACTTTGTGCCAATGTACCATGCTGGCATCCTAAAATAATTATTAGCGCTTAATTAGTCACGTGATGTTATCCAGAACATTTGCTCTTAAACTTTAACATCATCTATATTAGTGAGCTTGATAGACAACACATATATCTATCGAACAGCCTCAGAGACAGTCACGAGCCCCAAGCAGGCTGTTTTCCACTAAATGGCACACAGCCTGCTTCTCTTCTGGGGAATGGGTTTCAAGGAATTTGCAGCTACTTGTCACATTTTTCTTTAATTCAAGCAAAATCTTATTAGATGTTATATTCGCATTGTTTAAAAAGCCCATTAATGTAAGGGCTTAAGTTATCCCTTCTTTTGCGCACATTTATTTATTTATTTATTTATTTACTTGAGATGGAGTCTCGCTCTGTTGCCCAGGCTGGAGTGCAGTGGCGAGATCTCGGCTCACTGCAAGCTCTGCCTCCCGGGTTCATGACATTTTTCCACCTCAGCCTCCCGAGTAGCTGGGACTACAGGCGCCTGCCATGATGCCCGGCTAATTTTTTGTGTTTTTAGTAGAGATGGGGTTTCACTGTGTTAGCCAGGATCTCCTCACCTCGTGATCCACCCCGCCTCAGCCTCCCAAAGTGCTGGGATTACAGGCGTGAGGCACCATACCCGGCTCTTCTGTGCACTTTTAAATGATGTACTTAGCTTTATTTCTCATTCTAAAACTACAGAAATTTTCTCTGGATTCTCCATTTGGTAAGATGAAGATGCTACTGTCTCTCCCCTTTTCCTCCCACATTTTCCCTGTCTACTCCCAAACTGCCGTTTCTAGTTTTCATTGTCAAGGTTGGTAACCTTTACAGTTTCCCATCAAGCTTTGGTCATAGGATGATTCTAAATGATGGAACTATGAACACATTGATAATTTATTTTTCACTAACAACCAAGTAGTTAACTTATGATTACATGTTCCTTCCTGTGTAACTAGTGTGTGTTTTATCCTACAGTTTCCCATTTCCTTTTCCCCCATTTTCCTTTTTTTCATAAGAATCCTTGACTTTTCTTCTAAGACTTCCATAGATTTGTCAAAGTCATGTTTTAAATTCCAAGGGCTCCTTCAAGTTTTTAGATTTTAGTTTGTATATAATATCCTATTCTTTTGAAATGAAGATTATAGGGGAATTTTGTTGTTGTTGTTTCTGTTTTTGTTTTGCAAATTTACTGGAGAATTTAATCTGAGTTTTACTGTGGAAGTTCTGACCCATTCCCTAATAGATTTCTATTTCTGAAGGGTTTTTCTTTTTTCCTTTTCCTTCTCCCTCCATCCTCCTTTTCTTCCCTCCCTTCCTCCTTCCTGTCTTGCCTTGCCTTACCCTTGTCTTTGTCTTTCATTTTCTGGGCAGAGCAGACCACAGGATGCTCACCCCTCTCTGGAATCATTCTGAGGGGAGATTTCTCGCTGAACTGCCAGAGTTCCCCAGTGGGATTCTGCTCCAGATGCACACAGGCTTAAGCCTCTTTGCCTTTCTAGTCGCACTTCCCTGCTTTCACGCTGGCATTTCTAGAAATCACCTCCCATATAAACTGCTCGCATCTAAACTGAGACTGAGTTTTCCCAACGTGTGTATTACCTTTGACTGTACATTCATGTTTAAACATGAGGCAATTGATGAAATAGTAATATGAGGCTATTTTGTTGGGAGAGTCCTACTTAATAAAATTTAGATATTTTGCTCTTGAATCTATACTAGCTATTGTAACTCTACTTGCTATTCTAGTCTCTAGTTTCAAGACACAGCCTATATACCCCAAGACAGATTTTTCTTCTGTTTCTCTAAAGAAAAACTGTATTACTTAAAAAAAAAAAACTAAAAATGTGTTCGTTGATGATGTTGCATCGCCCAGGAGGTAAAAGCCTTAACTCCTGGATATCGCAGAT